TTTGAACTTTGAATTTAAATTTTCAAATTTTTAAAGGGTGAAATTTAAATTTTTATAGTTTTAAAGTTTGAATTTAAATTTTCAAACTTTTAAAATTTAAAGTGTGAAATTTAAACATTTATAGTTGTAAAGTTTGAATTTAAATTTTCAAACTTTTAAAATTTAAAGTGTGAAATTTAAACATTTATAGTTGTAAAGTTTGAATTTAAATTTTCAAACTTTTAAAATTTAAAGTGTGAAATTTAAACATTTATAGTTGTAAAGTTTGAATTTAAATTTTCAAACTTTTAAAATTTAAAGTGTGAAATTTAAACATTTATAGTTGTAAAGTTTGAATTTAAATTTTCAAACTTTTAAAATTTAAAATGTGAAATTTAAACTTTTATAGTTTTATAGTTTTAAAGGTTGAATTTAAATTTTCAAAGTTTTAAATTGTGAAATTTAAACTTTTATACTTTTAAAGTTTGAAAGTTTGTATTTAAAACTTTAAAAGTATAATTTTTTTTGCTTCTAATAAAATTATAAGAGTTCTAATATTATTTGTGTAATGTTCCTAATTTTTTAATTTTAATAATTTTTTTTTTAATTATAACCGTTGGGACCCGGTTTCCGGTCCGGTCCGGGACTGGTACACCATTTTTTTTCCGGAATTGCCGGTTCCGGTTCGGTTCCAGCCCGTGGTACCCGGTTCCGTTCCGGTTCTGGTCCGTCCCGGTTCTAGTCCCGTTGCCAGCCATAGTCGTCTGTCATATTGCAATGGTTTTTCTGAAATTTGTGCAGAAGCTTCATTGCTTTTGTCTAATTCCTGATATATTATAGAAAAGACTTCCTGAATGGTAAACAATTTTCTATGCTTCTGCAGGTTATGAAGGAACTATGTCATTCAGAAAAATCAGCATGGGTTTTGAGAAGTGGCGACGGCAAGCCTGAATAGTCTGCTACCTTTAAATCATGTTGTACAGGTCATGGAAAGTAAGTACATGTTAGTTGCGGAAATTCTCGATAACAAGCAGGAAGAAAGCTTTGCTTGAGGTTTCCCTTTACATAATTGTTTAGTTTTCAGGTTATACGAGTTGAGCTCGTTGGTAGGAAACGTTTTGCATTGCAAATCTAGTAGAAAATTTAGGAGATATTACTCTATCAGAAGATATTGTAGAGATTTACTTCTTTCCTTTAGTCACTCAAGGAGTTCTAAGTTGGTTCTAGTTTTATGATGGCCAATGATGCATGTGCATTGACAAGATTTAAATAGATCATGCATCGAGGCATTTGGGAGAAATCAAGTGCTTCTGGCCTCTGGGGAGTAACAGAAATCAGGAAGAGTGTACATAGTCGTGTATAATATATGGCACCGAAGGGTGTGGCCTAGTGGTTGAGAACCCTAAGGTCTCAGGTTTAAAATTTAGTGGAGAACAAAAAATACTGGGTGATTGTTCCTATCTGTTCTAGTCATGGTGGATAGAATTACTTAGTACCTATTGATGGTGGGAGGTGGTTGATGTCTCGTGGAATTATAGTAGACTATTTTATTTTTAACATATCATAGTAAAATTTGCCGATCAAGCTTCGTCGAGGGACAACACTCGGCCTCCCCGTTTAAGAAAGAATGGTCTAATTTGACTTGGCATAGAGTTTAAGAAAATAAAGAAGATTTTTGCATCTTGTGGTCCTAAAAGAAAGTTATGTCAAATGTACGAAATTGCCCTTTAATCTTGTGGCCTTAAATATGCCACGTGGAAAGTTGAAATTAAAATGTTATCAAAAAAAGAAAGAGATCACTCTTTTTGAAACAAATTAAAAAGAAAAAGAGGTCATTCTTTTTGAAACGGAGGGAGTATGTTATAAGGATATTTTTATCGGAATATATTCACTATAAATAAGATAATACAAATTTATGGATATTTCTTCTAGTTTTGAAAATTTATGGGTTTAAATCATATTTTTTTAAAATAGTTAAATATTCTTGAGAAAACTTGGGTCAAACACATAGTGTAATTTGATCAAAAACTTATCCCAAATATTATTTGCTAATTTTTCTACATCTAAGTCTTGATAAACAAAATTATCCGGCTGTCCCATCAAAGGAAAAGCACTAAAGTCTCTTTTTTCTCATTTAAAATAGTGTTACTTTTTACTGCTAATCAGTAATTATCAGCACAGAAATCTAAGTTACAAATGATGGGAACAAATATAAGAGTCCAACTTCTCGACTTTTGAGCAAATGGTCACACATTATAAAATACTTGCAAATTAATTATTTTACACATTAACACATTCAACACACAAAATATGACCGTTACAGGTTCCACATATATATACTTCATTCACTCTTTAACATTCTTCTCCACTTCCACAAATATTCTCTCTCAGCTCAGCACATTCTTTTCTCAATCATTTAACTACTATTTTAATATTATTTAATTTAATTAATTGCTCTTTTCATTAATTCTTATTTTACTTTCACTATTTTCTTCCTAAATTACTTATTTTTTCATGCAGATTCAGTTAGCAGTACTACTCCGTCACCTTCAAATTCCGTTAAAAATTGCCCCCGAAAATGGGTCGGGCCATCGGGTACCCGACATATCTCCGTTAACGTTCACTGTTTCGGTGATTATCAATCGGTTCAAGCTGCAGTGGACTCAATTCCTCAAAATAACAACATGAATATCCTTATTGACATTTCCCCCAGTTATTATATGTAAGCGTTTAAGTTATATACACTGTCACAAATTAAATTTCACGTATATATATAACGTAATTTATTTTAATTTTTCAGGTTATCGTCTTGTATAAAAATTAATTGTTCTTTCATTAAAGACGTGTATTTAATGATTCACACCTTTCTTAATTGAAGGTCAATGCAAGACACCTAAAAAATTATAATGTACAAATTTTCCTTATATTAATTATTTACCATGTGTAATTAGTATCTATATTATATGAGTATATAATAATGGAAGGACATTTATTTTTATTTGTCCAAGTACGTGAACATATTGTTTCGTACATTTTCATTTATTAAGGTCACGGGTGTCTCTTACTTCCTCATTTAATTATTTTTTTTGGTCCACAATAATTTTTTTCACTTTCTTTTAATTAATAAAATGTATATTTTACTATAATTAGTGTATGGTCTCAATGAACTTGAAAAAAAAGAATAGTTGATGGTTAGAATAAACTAAAAAAAATATCTTTCCCTTTATATGCTAAAGAGGACAAGAAAAAAATAAAAATATGATAGACAAGTAAAAATATCAAAAGAAGTGCTCCTTATATCCTCGTTTATATTGTAAAGTGAATATTTCAAATTCGTGGACAGTTTAAAATAAATCTTATATATTTATATTGAAGGTTTTATAGTTTGTGATCTTTTCTCTTATGGATAATTTCTAGTTCACATGTGTCACTTTCTTTATATATATACCCGTCCCAAATTACGTGGTACATTAAAAAAATATTTAAGATATTTATCGAGACTAAAAAGAAAACTACGTCGTATAATTTTATTTTATTTTTTGAATTGTGGTGCAGTGAAAAAGTGGTGGTGCCAGAAACAAAGCCATACATAACATTTCAAGGAGCAGGTAGAGACGTAACAGTAATAGAATGGCATGATAGAGCAAGTGATAAAGGAGCAAATGAACAACAGTGTTTTTTGTAGCGTTTATACTCTTCAGTGCTTAACGAAACTTGGGATATCTATCTTCAATTTCTTTCATGGGTTCATGAAGAATTTCCTTTGACAAAAGCTGCTGCATCATGGTCTCAACTATAGACTCCATGTCCTACAAATCCGAGACCAAAAAAATTATATATCCACTTCAAGCAAGTGAAAAGGAACGGTATAAGACATGATGCATAATGAGACATGTGAAAGGAAAAAGAAACCTCAGAGATCTCTTCCAAGTGAAAAAACAACAAACAAACAACAACATACCGAGTGTAATTCCACAGGTGGGGTGTAGAGTGTAGGTAGACCTTACCTGTTGGAATGTATGCGTCCACGACTATCGATGGGACCAGGTCCTCAACACAGTTACACTAACAGACAGTAAAATAAATACTGAAAGTAAAGATTGCACAAGTGTTTTACGTGGAAACCTCCTTGCTCAAGGGAGTAAAACCACGACCTGACCTGTCAGGACTTTTCAAACTTCTTTCACTAGTCTTCTCAAGCAAAAGCAAAAGCAAGTTTACAAACTGATATTAGCCTGCTAATCCCAACTCTAAGCAATACCTCCTATCACTTAGATAAGCCAGAGCAGATACCACACTGCCCACTAAGCTATCACCCTTATAGATAACATAGACTTCAACTAACAAACACACAGGTTGCCCACTAAACCACCACCATCTGGACGATTTAGACTTTAACTAAGCAACAACAATGTTTCCCACTAAACCACCTAACCCTTAGATGATTTAGAATTCAACTAAGCAATATATAATGTTACCCACTAACGGTGATAGCTTTTCTAACGGCTGTCTTGTCACCTTTTCATATCGCAGTCTTGCAGGGACCAGGTCCCTTACAATGTTCTTTGGAAATTCTTGAAAAGGCTTGCTGGCTGACTTCTACCTTTGAATGAATGAATTTAATATGGTGTTTGTCATGTTGAAAATATCAACCATAAAGAGTTATTACCCGTTGGACAAACACCCTCGTCCATTCTGATTGGTTCAGTACGCTGACGCCTTACCAACCACTGACAAGATAGCTTTATAGTTGTACCCCATTATATATCTGATGGATAGAACTCTGCCTGAGACCAGGTCCCTGTATTTGTGGGCCACTAAAATAGACAGTACACTGCACTTTTCACCTAGCACATGGCGTGATAGCTTTACAGTTGTACCCCATTTGAATCTGGACGAAAGCACTCTGTCAGGGACTAGATCCCTGCATTTGTGAGGATCATCAAAACACCTAGAATATAATATTTTCCCCCTTTTTGATGATGACACACAAATATTCCTCACACTGAGTTTATTCATTCATTTCACTATCAGCAGTCCCATTAACAAGGATCTGATTCCTTGTTAGATCTTTAAGTTTGTTAAATCATCAAAACTTAACATCAGCTCCAAAATAACATTTTCCCCTTTTTTGATGATAACATACTTATTCACCAGTTCCCCCTATCAACAAGAACTCTTCAGGTAACTGGAGTTTTATCATCCCCAAAGTTTGTCAAATCATCAAAACATCAAAATAGCATTCTCCCCTTTTTTGATGATGACAAACAACTTCTTCCCCCTATAGGCATGACCAGGTCCTCTTTAAGTAGCTAGCATTGATTCCCCCTATCGCCATGACCATGTCTTCTTTAAGTAGCTAGCATTTATTCCTCCTATCGGCATGACCGGTCCCTTGTTAGATCCCTAAGTCTTCTTCCCCCTTTCAACAGTTCCCCCTATCAGCATGCCTCTTGAGGTAAGTGGAGTGGTCCCCTTTTTGCATCATTCTCGAAGTTTGTCAAATCATCAAAACTTCACATCAACACCAAATAGCATTTTCCCCTTTTTGATAATGACAAACCTTTTCAACCTCTTCCCCCTATCAGCATGCCCATGTTCTTTTGAAGTAGCATTTGATTCCCCCTATCGACATGACCATGTCCTCTTCACAGTAGCATTTGATTCCCCCTATCGACATGACCATGTCTTCTTCACAGTAGCCTTCATCATTGATCTCATACCTTAACAATTTATTTTCCCCCCTTTTGACATCAATAAAAAAAGGGGTTAAAAACAAGTAAACCAAGTTGACAGAAATACAGTTCAAGCAAATTCATGGCCACTTGGGCAACACTGAGCATGAGTAAAAAATGCATAAAGTAATGAGACAAGTCAGTAGAAATAAGGCAGTTTTCATTCAAAAATAAAAGATCAGCCATCAAAGCATTGCACATATAATTACGAATGAGAACTAGAACAATGCCCAAAAATAGGAATGAGGACTGACATAGAGAGATAGGAAGAGAAGGGATGACTTAGAGGCAAGGGATTGAAATAATAGAATTAGTGGATCATATCCCTTAGCATGATTTTTCAGAATGCTTTGCTGCCCAGGCTACATGTTGAACCTTCAGGGCTGCCAGTTTTTTTTTAAAATTTTTTTTCAACCTGGTCCCCCGGATAGTTCTGTTTTCAGAAACTGAGCCTTTAGGCAAGCTATTTCAGTATCTCTGTTAACTATAGC